AGCGAAAAAAAAGATGTGAATATTGTCATTCTTCATTGCGAAACTACCAGAAAAAGCTAAAAAGATTGAAATTTTACTGAGATTTCAAAGATGGATGAAGAAGACGACCATTCTCCGAGCAAGTTCAGTATCATCCTAAAGATCTGGAAACTTTTGATGTAGAAACTGAAACAGGCATCACCGAAAGCCAGGAGGCCAAAGACGATTTTATCAACCGACAGAAAATTGCAAACACAAACAAGAAGACGGCCACTGATATGAACACTCTTCTCCGCTACATTGAAGCTAATGGTATGAGAAATGAGAAAATTGAAAGCTTACCTGCGTCCGAGCTTGACCACTTTGTCGAAATTTGTTTAACGCACGGAGGAAAAACGGAGAAGGATAAGAGCCAGTGACACGTTTCCAGTTTTCAGCCCAGTATAAGCTTACAGTGATACTTAGAAGAAATATCCATTTAACATATCCAAGGACAATGAGTTCGAAAAATCCAGAAAAGTCCTTGCAGCGAAGCGAAACTCACTTGTTCTGATACGAGCACGGCAAAGGAAAGAAACCGCAAGCGGCTCAGGCCATCGACGAACACGAAGAGGATGCCCTTATTTTAATTTTCAATTCGGCGACCCCAGTCTAGTTGCAATTCAAAGATCTGTGTGGTAGCTTTTATACAACACTTCGGTCTCCGAGCAAGAGAATATCAGTCAAGCGATCCGTTACTATCTTCCACCGCCCCAGTTTTTACAGATGCAAACATAGGATCCATCAGCAGGTGCACATTCTAAATATTTCATGGTAATGTGAAAATTGTCCAAAATGAAAGGAAGCGTCGAATTGTTATTGACAGCGATGAGGACGATTGACTATCAAGCTATTTTTGTCAACTATGCCCAGTTTTGAATTAATTTTCACAGCTTCAAACTTAGACTTTCACTTAACACTGACTTGATCCATATTTTGAAATCAGGAAAGTATTGTTTGATCGACAAAAGACCCTTTCTCGAATTTTAGAATCAAGAATTGTTTTTGTCAGTTTCCGTTACAAAGTGTTTTTGAAATTTTGTTTAAGCTACTTTAAGACGATTTGACATTCAATGAATTTGTTTTTCGAACATGTGGTAGCTTGCTTTTGTCTGAGTTGCTCCCGTCATCAAGAATACGTCACGGCGGAAGCCCTTGAAGTGCAAGCCACCGGAAGTGCATTTTACTATCAGAAGCCGAGTGCCATATAATAAACAACTTACTAACCGAGCTTGCTCGAGCCGTACTGGGGAATATTGGCCCTCGCGCTCGGTTAGTAAGCGGTTAGTGTTTGAAGCCTTTCACAGAGATAAATTCATTTCCTTGGCATTGAGCGGAGGCCCTCTTAATAGCCCTCTTAAAAGCCATTACTTTCACCAGATCAAGGAAAGGCCCTACATGCTTGTTACTTTCCAGTCCGCTATAATTATGCTAATGCAGTATGCTAATTTGTCCTTTTTTCTCAAAAGTATTTGCACGCTACAACTGGTATGTAATTCGAGTTCTCAAGAGACTATAAAACTACTTAGAAGAAAATTCCTCACACCATGTTCAAAGCGCAGAAATTGCTTCCTGTCTTTCCTCTGTAATAAATGTCCGGATTATATACGTCAAGGAAGGAGCTATTGCGATTACTGCCCGTTCACCTCAATGCGTTATAACATCCTTCGTATTCTGACCGAACAGTATGCTATTGATTTCTCCAACCTCCTGACAGCATTGATCATATTGCCATTACTGAACCTTGTTTACATCACTGACGTTGATTGCTTGGCCATCAGTTAATGCCTGGAACACCTACCCGGTGGTCTGCTGAAAGTAAAGGTGAGAAAAGGAGGAGTTATCACGGCTGCAGTAGAAAATTTAATGTGCATGGGACCTGTGGCAAGGGATCCACCGTCGAGTACAGTCAGCCAAAATACAGACTTGCAGTACTGTAATTAGGGTCGCTCAAAACAGCCGAGATAAGAAGTGGCCGGTGTATAACATTAAGCAGCTGAATTTACAACTGCATAAATGTATTTGTGTTATAACGTTTGCGCAAGTGATCGTGAAACACAACAAGAACTCCTATAACAGTGAGGACTGAAAACTTTCCTATTTGTGGTCACTTTTTGACAAAGATGAGCACTCTTCTGTTCTTGTTGACGCTCCACTGTATCCTTCTAGGGTACACTGATATCATTGCCTGCTTTGAGCAGCGTTACCTTCAAGGATCAGTGAAGACCGTTCCACACTATAAACTTAAGAGGCACCAAATTAAGACTCTTAACGTTTCTTCATTGTTATCTTGTGCCCAGTTCTGCCTAGCGGAGCCCAGATGTGTTTCGACTAACTTTGGAATTTCAGACGATAATAATTTTGTTTGCGAATTGAACAATTGCGGTACTATTTCCTTTCAACCTCACCAACAACTTGCTTATGAAGAACGATTTGTGTTTCCTCACTATTCAGATCGCTTTCCAAATTCAGAAACAAAGGTAAGCTTACTTTCAGAGAACTTTAGTGAATGATTTAGCAATCAATAGCTTGGTGACCACTTTTTAATATGTTACAAAAATTGTCTGGCTTGTCTTTATAATACTGGGTGTATACTGTTGGTTGAACGTTTGTGAAACAGATGGAACTTTCTTTTACTCCTAATGAGGCAGTTCATGATCATAGAAAGTAACAAATTTTAGAAAAGTAAAAGTCCTTTGTTGAAACAGGGATGCCAAATCAGACACAGCCGTCATATTTTGTCAAGTAGCCATTGTCCATTTTGGTTGTTCAAGTTGCTCTGAAAGTTAAACGCCAACATCTTGATTTATGGCTGTTAGTCCCCAGGAACCCTTTGTTTTCTAATTTCAAAACGCGGTATTTTGCTGTAGAAGCGCAATTATCCGTCTAGTTTTGTCCATATACAGTTCCTTATACTCTATCTAAATACTCACACGGGCTAGCCATGGCCAGAGATTGTATGTATTTGTTCTTCACCATAATGAAAAAACAAAGTTACATCATTTCATCTCCTTATAACCATCTACTTTCACTTCACTTCTCTTGGAGCTATGGGACGATTTGGACCAACCAGCGATGCCAACCAGGGTACCTCACTGGAAGGAATCTCAGTTCAAAAGGGCCTACAAACGTGGATTGTTCCAGTGACGGGCCAGTATCAAGCTGAACTGTGTGGAGCTTCAGGAGTGGACAACAGTTTCTATAACACCAAAGGTGGAAGAGGCGCTAGAGTAAAAGGAAGCATTCATCTGGAAAAGGGAACGCAGCGGACGGTCTTAGTTGGGCAAAAGGCTACTGGAGGAGGTGGTGGTGGTGGGACGTTTGTTGTGTTCGCTGCTGATGGAAGTCCTTTGGCCCTAGCTGGGGGTGGGGGTACGGCAGATGTTGCAGATGGTGATCCAGGGCAAGGCATAAATTTTGGCATTGTTAATGGTGGGGGAAAGGCAAAAGGAGGGAACGCCTGCGTATCAAAAAGCCGTTTTGATACTGTAACAGGAGTTGGTGGAGGGGGCGGCCTTATTTCTGACGGAAGATGCTTCGTAAAATCTTTTACTGCCGGAGGCAGAGAGGGTTTCAATAAAGACAGTCTATGTGCAGGAGGTTTTGGCGGCGGTGGTAACCGCGGGGGAGGGAGTGGATTCTCTGGCGGAGGTGTTCAAGTTTCCAAGAATATAAAGAATATCCATACAGGAGGGGAAGGGTCCTTCGTCCCTAACGGGAAATGGGCAGCTACTTCCGGAGGCTGTCTCGCAAGGGACGGATTTGCTATCTTTGAATTAGTTTTACTGGGTCACTGAAGAGATGTCAATAATTCTTTTCTATTTGTTTTTCTTCGTTCTTCTTNGCCTACAAACGTGGATTGTTCCAGTGACGGGCCAGTATCAAGCTGAACTGTGTGGAGCTTCAGGAGTGGACAACAGTTTCTATAACACCAAAGGTGGAAGAGGCGCTAGAGTAAAAGGAAGCATTCATCTGGAAAAGGGAACGCAGCGGACGGTCTTAGTTGGGCAAAAGGCTACTGGAGGAGGTGGTGGTGGTGGGACGTTTGTTGTGTTCGCTGCTGATGGAAGTCCTTTGGCCCTAGCTGGGGGTGGGGGTACGGCAGATGTTGCAGATGGTGATCCAGGGCAAGGCATAAATTTTGGCATTGTTAATGGTGGGGGAAAGGCAAAAGGAGGGAACGCCTGCGTATCAAAAAGCCGTTTTGATACTGTAACAGGAGTTGGTGGAGGGGGCGGCCTTATTTCTGACGGAAGATGCTTCGTAAAATCTTTTACTGCCGGAGGCAGAGAGGGTTTCAATAAAGACAGTCTATGTGCAGGAGGTTTTGGCGGCGGTGGTAACCGCGGGGGAGGGAGTGGATTCTCTGGCGGAGGTGTTCAAGTTTCCAAGAATATAAAGAATATCCATACAGGAGGGGAAGGGTCCTTCGTCCCTAACGGGAAATGGGCAGCTACTTCCGGAGGCTGTCTCGCAAGGGACGGATTTGCTATCTTTGAATTAGTTTTACTGGGTCACTGAAGAGATGTCAATAATTCTTTTCTATTTGTTTTTCTTCGTTCTTCTTGGTGTAAGTGAGAAATAAGGAAAAATATTTATTACCAATACCGTAAAATTCCGAAAACAAGCCCCGGGGCTTATATTTTTCAAAGGCCCTCTTTGAGGGGCTTATTTTTGGAGGAGCTTATATTCGGAGGGGCATATCTAAGGAGGGAAATTTGCGTTTCAAAATCGATTGGGCTAGCCTTACAGTTGAAAATAAATCTACCGTTTGTGCTTTGTTTTACTTCGTATTTAAGGGCAATTTTCCAAGTACAAGCCCCCTGGGGGCTTATATTTGGAGGGGCGATTTAACGGAGGGTTTTTACGTTACCGGACTGGGAGGCTTTTATTTTGAGGGGCTTATACGTGGTGGGGCTTATTTTCGGAATTTTAAGAGCCAGTCTCTGCAAGATCCTCATATCGAGTTTTGCCCACAAAATGGATTTCGCTCATAATATAACAAATATGAAACTAGATCGGAGAAATTTGCTTCTGTAAATTTTTTTTAACGAATTTTCTTTCGGCGGCACATGAGGACCTGAGATGCTTGTGAAATATGCAAATTTTGTCAAAATTCAACCGATTGCTCCGGATAAAAGAGTGCGACCCAAAGCTTCCAATTTACTA